CCCTCCCTCCTTGCGGCTCCTCGGCTTCCCAGCCTCTGCCTACCTGGGTGCTCCTTAGTTTTTTCCACGGGCCTCGCCCCTTTTCCCCTACTTGCCCTCCTTCTCACACCTTTGTATCTGCGCCTGTGCCTTTCTGCCTTCTTTTCCTGCCAGTCCTCGCACACCGCCCGAAGCGAAAGGCGCTCTCCAGTCTACCTTAGCGCAGAGTCCACATGCAGACCTCGTCCCAAACACTGACTCTAGAAACTATCATCTTCGTTAGCACATTATAGGGTGAGTTCTCAGCTCTGCAGACCACGCTGTCTCCACCGCGGCGGTCTGTCCTAACCACACGCTGGCCTTCTCATGAATTGTCGGACTTACCAGGGAGCGTCAAGCTAACCCTGAGGTTCAAGACCACGTCTTAAAAATCCAAATCTTGACTTTCCCTTTTTTATCTCATTCTGCCACCCTTTCTCCTAGTTATTCTTGAATCTGTGTATTTGTGTACGGACTCACATGGAGAAAAGCCACGGTAGAATTTTCTCAAAGCAGTCACAGATCCCAGTAGAAATAAGATTCACTTTCTGCTTCTTCTAACTTTTCACTTACTCTTCCATGGCATTGAAATAGAAGAAGCAGAAAGTGAATCTTATTCAGCCATCACCATCCTAATGTGTTGTCCATACTGTATCTGAATAGTTCTGGGCCTAGTTTGCCCTTTTGTGGTAGCTGCTCTTCCCACTTCTTTCCAGTTGAACCCAGTATTTCTTGGGCGGGTTAATGAAGCAGTAAGAAGTTTATATCTTAGAAAATTGCATCTCTCTCATTCTGATGGGGCTGATGGAATATTTCAATTTATTATCCCGTCATTGATAGAAATGTTGCCTAGTGGTTAGGAGCTCAAACTTGGGAATTGCCAGGACCTGCTACCTACCAGTGTTGGTTTGGGCCAGTTATTTAACCTCTCTGCGATTTAGTATTTTTACCGACTACAAGGGTAGTAGTGATTGCACAAGTTAATGCTGGTCAAATACTTAGAACAGTGCCTGGCACATGGTCAGACCTTGATAAATGGTATCTTTACCATCGCTAGTTTGATTTGTTTTAACTATTGGTAGGTTTATTCTGAGAAAGGAAAATGAGAATGGAAAGCTACTTTCTTATTCTTTGCTTAATTTAACACCCTTTTGTTGTAGATCTAATTTGTATTTTATTATATAAATTAATTTCTTACTTGAAAAATACAGGCTTTTACTTTCTATTTTCAAGTAAATTACCAAGTTACAGATACAGTTCTTATTTCATATACTTATTTGAGATTTCTAAAACTCTGTTTTCTTTTTGAGAATAAATGGAGTTGGAATATACAGCAGCTCCCTCATAATGAAAAAATGAAGATTTTTACACATAACAATTTTAGTACTGCAAGCTAAATAGTCAAAGCTGGTAGGGTATTCTTCATACCCAATTGACTTTATCTTGAAACACAAAGTAGAGCTCTGTCTTCATATGGAGGAATAGTAGCTTTTTTCTTTTAATCTGTTGTGCTCATTCATGTTCACATGACTTGCTTAGTAGTTACCACATTTTACTCAATTTTAAAAATGCTAACAGTTTTTGCCATATGCGGTTACCTTTTGTACAATATTAATATGTTTATAGGATTCGTTTAAACTATAGATATTTATTTTACTGTTCTAAATAGTAAAAATTTGAATTCCCTATTTGCTGTCTTAATTACATGTAATATATATACAAATAATTATCAAATATTTATCACCAATAATAATTCCTGTGCTGCTCATGGAATGTACTTCATAATTTGGGTGATGCCACATTTGCTAAGACTATTCACTGGCCTAGAATATTCTTTGCTCTCTTCTATATATTCAAATTCTACCTGTTTTCTACCTTTTACTGCTTCCACATAGTTCCTGCCAACATCGGTTTCTTTGCTTTTTTGGTTTTCTAGAATCTGCATTTTGTATTTTTTACTATGAAAAGTATAGACAATGCAACTTGAAGAAATATGACTTTTCTAGAACCTGATTTAAAGCTTCTAGAAACTTTTTAAGGATAGGGCCACCCACTCAGAACCCCTCCTGAAAATCTAGGAGTTGTTTTTCTTATTTCCAGTGAAACTCTCCTAAACTCCTCCTAAAGAAACTTTGTTTAAAATTGACATTTAACATCTACTCTGTGCTTAGCATTATTCCTTTGGTTTTGTAAGCATTCTTTCCAAAAATATTTAATGAGCACCTGTTGCTTGCCATGCATTGGGAAATACATGGGAGTGGCCCTTCTCTGTCATGTTCTCTGTGCAAATCAAGCTCTAATAATGCTAAGTCAGTGGTAGCAAACCTATGGCACATGTGCTGTAGTTGGCTGTTTGTATCATTGAAAGCTCCGAAAGGTCCGCCATCACTGCTTTAAGTCATTCAGGGTTTGTAGTGAGTTACTACTTCATCGCCTCTGACCCTTTAATAATGTGTACTGTTCTTAAAGAACTTAATAAATAGTACCTAAATCAGTTTTTATGGGACTTAATTCCTAGTTGGAAAAAGCTCTATCAGAGAATAATAATGACATCACCTCTGCTTTTGTAAATATTTTATATTCTGCAGTGGCCCTGACAGACATTAAACAAGTAATCAGATAAATTTGATATAATGGTAATCACTGACAGAACATTGTGCTAAGCATTGTTTCAGGGTGTTTATATATTAATTCACTTAAACTCATAGTAATCCTTTTTTAAAAAGCTTGCTATTCTCCTTTTACAAATGAAGAACTAGGAAGCAGATTAACTTCCACAAAATCATACAGTAAGCAGCGCAGCCAGGAAATATAAGTCTAGAATATGTTACCCCTTATTACCTCAGATTTGTCACATCTTTGTTGATTAATTTAGTTAAGATTCTTCATTTTTCTGAAAATCAGTTATTTTAAAAATTTATTTTGACAAGCTGGGGCATGGTGGTACACACCTGTAATCCCAGCGCTCAGGAGGCTGAGGCAGGAGGATCTCTGTGAGTTCAAGACCAGCCTGGGCTACATAATGAGTTCCAGGTCAGTCTCAACTACATTGTGAGACTTTGTCTCAAAAAACCAAAAAAAAAAAAAATTTATCTTGACAATGGGGTTTCCCTGAGTATTTTAGGCTAACAAAATAAAGGATATTTAACTTTTGTAAAGTACTTGGCACACTTATCCCAAGCCTTTTATATAGTTAGATAATAAAGACATTTACATTGTGAGCCTGCTCACTGTTTTGTTTCTTTGATTTGCTCATTTAACAAAAGTTTATTGAATAACTTATTTTTGCCAGGCTCTCTGCCAGGCTCTGGTCATACATGTACATTTAAAAAGGGGGAAGGATTTTATATTCTTAGAGGCAAAAGTCAATGGGGAGCAAAGAAACTAAAAAATGAGCAAAAATAATAACTAGATATAGAGCTACTACAAAGGAAAATTATTGTAAGTAATGAAAGGGCACTAGTTATCAGGGGATGCCTCTCTAAAGAAACGATTTTGGGGCTGAAATCTAACGGATGAGCTCCTTATCCAAGTGATGTTGACAGTTTCAACTTTATAGAACTGTAGAAAAGGACTGACTTAGCACATGAGGATAACTTATGGGAAATGAGAACGGAGCATATCATAGTGATCAAAATCCATGCTAAACATTTTATATTTAATCTTAAGAGCAATAGGAAGCCACCAAGAAAGTTAAAAAGCTGAGTAATTTACTTCGATTTTTACATTTAGAAACATTACTTGGCTCCTTTGTGGAGTACAGACTGGAGGGGGAAGTGTAAATGCAGGGTGGTCAGTTAGGTCAGTGCTTCTCATATTTACTTTTGGTGAAGGTCTGCTTTTTTTGTTTTGGTTTTAATATCCATTTAATACTGGTGCTTTAGTAATGTACAATAAAATGAATGTTTTGACATGCTGGATTGCTGTAAAACTTTTAGTTTATGGATCAACATGTGTTCGCAGACCACACTTTGAATAGCATTAATTTCAGCAATAAGAGTAATTTAATGGTCTCGGGATATAACTGACTAGCTAAATGTGAAACGGCCTGTAGCTTGGCTTGCACAAGGGCCTGAGTTCTCTGAAAGCAGTGCAAAAATACAGTAATTTAGGTAAGAGGTGATGGCAGTGATAGAGATAAAGTAGCTTGAGTTGCATATATTTGGGAGGTGAAATTGCTAGGATTTGGTGATGGATTAGATTTGGGATTATATGGAGAAGAGAAAGCTGATTTTCTGGGCCAGTAGTTGTCATACATAAAATAGGACTGGGGAGGAACAGATGTTTTATTTGGTAGTATAAGGAAAGAAGAGATATTAATCATAAAGTTTGAGAGGTTTAGGCCTAAGAGTGAGATAAGTAAAGATATCTAATAGTTGGATATATAGGTTTGGGACTATATATAGGATTGGGACTATAAATAAATTTGGTAATAGCATAAAATTTATAATTGATGCCTTGGAGTGAGGGAAGAGATTGGCCAAGGAAAAAATAGAAGGTACAGAGAAAGGAGACTTAGGCCTAAGCCAGTGGATCTTCCAACATTTTAACATTGGAAAAAAATAATTGCAACAAAGGATATGAAAAGAAGTAGCCAAAAGTTGGAGGAATTTTTTGTTGATATTATGAAAACCAAGACAGTAAACTAAAAAAAAAGTGTAGGGGACCAATCAATTATTTTGAATGCTGCTGAGAAATCAAATTGAGGGCTAACAAGTATACATTGTATTTAGTAACATGCAGAATACTTTATATTTCTCACTAGTGAGTTCATCCATAAACCATTTGATAATTTTATTTTAATCTGCCAAAGCTATAATCCTAAATTTATAATAAAATTATCATTTCTGTATCACGAACCATATCTTCCTTCCTGAGCTCATACTCATGTTTCTGCTCATCACCATCTGGATATCCTATAAGTATCTCAAATTTTTTCCCCCACAACTTACTCATTCAGAGTCCATTTTTTTTTAAATCCACTGTCAGATACTGAACTACTTTTAAGTATTGTGATTAGAACTCAGAAGAGGTACTATCCATAGTTAAACTAATATTTGCTATTCTAGTGTGAATAGTGCTGCATAGCAGTTTATTCAGTTTGTTTTGGAAGCACAGAGAAAGGGCATCAGGAAAGTTTTTCTAAGGAAAAGGACACTGGAGCAACATTTCTGAAAAGTAACAAGCTTAGGTGGAGAGGACAATGCAGTGGTAGATGATATTAAAAGAAATTATATTTCAGATATTTTGAAAGC